TTACGCTTTGATTAAACAAGTTAACTAAGATTAATAAAATGGTTTGAAATAATTTATGGAAATTTTGACTTTTACCACCAAAAAATTTGGACAAATTGTTTTTTACCACCTACTATTTTAAAAGTTGTATTTTACCACCAAATAAAACTCAAAAAATTGTTTTTTACCACCTACCGTTTAGAAAACCATTAAATCTAACGGAATTTTTTAAAATTCTTCGATTTTCGTGCCCAAAATATGTTTTTCATAGGTTTAGGGGGGCATTTGTCCTATGGAACCATTTTGAGGTCAAAATTGATAAAAAATTATCGGAAATACCTCGTTTTGCGTGTTTAAAAATACATCGAATTACGTGAACACGCAAAACGAGGTATTTCCGATCATTTTTTATCAATTTTGACCTCAAATTGGATCCATAGGGCCAAAATGCCCCCTAAACCTATAAAAAACATATTTCGGGCACGAAAATCGAAGAATGTTTTTTAACACCTGTAGGGAATAATTTCAAGCCTTTAAAATCCCACTAGCTTGAACCCCACTGTGATCATACACTAAAGTACCGCGGCGTCCAAAAGGGAAGAAGATAGAGCAAAAGAGTCGCCAACAAGTTTTTAAGGAACTTGTAAACCGTTCACGAGGTGAAGGTTACACCCCTTAACGATCCAAGAGATCGTCAACTCCATAAGGTCATGAACCAAATAAGGGTTCGGGGATGAAGGTACAAATCCAACCTAAAAGAGATTGAACCTGCCCTAATAATAGGCCTCTACTTTATTCTGCTCGTATTCATGTGCGCTTTCTGACTAACATACAATCAATAGGATTAAACCTAAACCTGTTTAATCTATGTTGGTTGAATTTAATGCACAAATAAACTATTATTGGCGATCACTTGAATTATAATCACAATTAACCTAACAAGATTATTAATTATCTTATTAAGCGTGATTGCAAGTACCAATTCCCTTTAAACATGCAATAAAAGGTGATCAAGCAATAAAGAATAAAATAATATGCATATCAAGCAACATAATAAACAATCAACATCATTAATAATAATAATATCAATCATAATCATGATGTTAAAGCATAGCAAGATCCTAGGCATGATACTAACAAGATTAATAACAAATCCTAGCATGTCACTAAGCAATAAAAATCAAATTTTTAACCCTAACATGATACTAACAATCATAAATATTAGGAAGAGAATAAAAGGCATCATACTTTTAATCATACTTAATATTAAAGTTACCCTAGACATGATACTAGGAATCAAAATAACAATCTAAGCATGATTTCTATATCATAATATCAATTAAACCATTAAAGTACTTACTTGGATGCCTCGTACCTCTTTCTAAGAACAAAATACACGCGTTAGTAACTTCAAGGAAAATAATAATCAAAACAATTAAATTAAATAATTGAAAGAGAGATTTGGGACCAAACCTTCAGAAATTAAAACCTTTCACGTCTAGAGCGAAGGCAACTTCGAATATGGCTAGGTGTTTCTAGATCTTGTGAATGCGGAATTTTGTGTTAAAAAGCAAAGTTTAGAAAAGAAAGAATGAATGTTAATGAAAGTTGATGAAAAGAGATGAGTAAAAAGGATTATTTGACTGTAGATGAATGCTAATTTGATGAATGAATATTGATAATTGGTGAATGAAGGGAGTTGATTAAAACTTAAGAATAAAGAGAATTGGTGAATGATAGATGTAGATGATGATTGAAAACGGAGTTTTTGATACGATATTTATAGAGAAAATCATCCAAAAAAGATAATTTAACAAAACAGAGTCTGAAGATCACAAAAATGCATTGGCGCCAACCCTGGCTAACTGGCGCCAGGCACCAGTGGCTAGCGCCAGGCGCCAATGGCTAGCGTCTGGCGCAGTTCCAGGCGCCAAGGCCTGGGGTTGGACGCCAAAGTGGTTTTCAACACGTTTTCGAAAATCTGATAAATTTCCTGTACTGGAAGATAAAATAATATAATTCCATCGAAAATGCTATTTGATCTTGATTAAAACTCTGAAAAGTCCTAATTGAATTAGGAATGAAAAGAACCTTCTAGAATGTTCTAGAAGACTAAAACCATTCCTAATTGCATTAGGAATGATAAATTATATTAGGCCCTCCCCTAGATCATTGGGCCGTACATAAAGCTCAAACCGAGCCCAGTTTAGTAAATTGGCCATAACTTCCTCAATATTCATCGGAATTGGGCTTATAATATATCGTCGGAAAGGTCTTTGCAAGCCCCATCCAACTACACCACTATTGGATCCATATCATGGACCAACCAAACTGGATTGGCTGTTTTCTTAAAATAAAGTTTTCCAAAACAGGAAGAAGAGAAAAGAATTAAAACTTTCCGCAACACTAGACCTTTCCACACTTTCACTTCATTCGATTATGATTCGACGTGAAAGACACTTATCACCGGGTTTGGTTTTGGGAGACACAAATGGGTGTCTACAACACCGTTAGATTTAACGGTTTTCTTAACGGTAGGTGGTGAAAAACAATTATTAGAACATTATTTGGTGGTAAAATACAACTTTTAAAATAGTAGGTGGTAAAAAACAATTTGTCCAAATTTTTTGGTGGTAAAAAACAATTTTTATTAACACGAATTAATATTTTTTCAAATATATGAGTCAATAATTTATCCTAGACTAACTGTGACTCAGACGATTTAAAATTTTAAACGACACTTGATAAAAGTTTTTGCCTACAATGTTGCCCTTTTCATCAAATTTTAAGAATTTTAAAGGTTAATAACCATTAGGCATTTTCATCTTGTTAATTTGTTTAGTGTATGGCTTCTCATTAAGTCTTTTTTTTTTTTGGGTCATGAAGGCCTTTACCTAGTTGATTCTGGACAACATTTACTATCATATTCATTATACGCTGCAAGGTGAATGCAATCTCGCTCCTTGTACTCCATTTAGAAAATTAGAACTCTCGTCTCCATCAGAGTCTTCTTCGTGCTTTGTACTCCATCTACCTCCATTTCATATTATTATTTGCGACGTTTGTCAAAATTGGATGTTTTATTATATGCAACAAATGTTTTATTTTCTTTTTAAGTTGTCATTTTTTTCCTCTCTCTCTCCTTATCATATGCATCTCTATCCTTCCTTCTCCATTTAACACTCACAAACAAATTTTGCATTTTGTTGCAAATAACATGAAACAGGGGTAGTAATTCAAATTTATAGGTGATTTTCATTTGTTTGGCATCTTTATTGATCTTTGGTATTTAAGGGCGCTTGGAGATGAATTCATAATAAAATAGTTGAATCTGGGAAAAAAAAAATCATCGGCGAACTATTGTTTCTGTAAGTCATTTAAAAGATGCGGCCAAGCTAGCCACATCAGTATCAAAATTAACACAAAGGTTTATGCTGAGCATTGAGTTGCTGTTTAGTTTTCATCTGATTTATATGAGCATGTACCTGATGTTAAAGCCAATGACTAATTTTGTGGGGCGTTAAATATGCTTTTGGTGTATTAGTACAAGGATGGTGTAGCTGATTACTCACTTTCTGATGCATTTGATACCAACTGATTTAGCTGTGTATTATTTTTATATGATTATCTTAACTCTAGGTAAATAACTATTTGGTGAGATTAATTTTAACAGAAAAGAATGATGGTCTTACCAAAAGTGCTTTTGTTAAACTCATAGTAAACAGTTTGATTGTAAAGAAAAAAACAAGGGAAATCGCTTCTTTGTTTGGTGTCATGCAGGGAAAGCAATTAGGCACTTTAAATTTTGTGTATTCCTTGAGGGCTTGAGGAGCGATCCTTTTAACATAAGCTATCTATACGTAGGCCTCATTTTTTTCACTTGAAATTCTCTTATCTGAGCTCATATGATTATTGAGCTATATTGAACTCATCAGAACAAATCACCAAACTCAACTGTACTTGCATATCTCTGAAATTTAATGAACTTATCTATCAGAGCTTTTTGTTTCCGATGTGGCTCATTCATGGTTTATGAGTATATGGGAGGATAACATTGATTGTGTAATCTCTGTCTGTCAAAAATCTGGATCTGATCCTGATCTTTTCTTTCCTTGTGAGGTGGCCTACACTTTATGAACTGAGCTTTTTAATTTGGAAAGTGGAGTTTAGGTTGTGCTGTTTTGTTTATGGACCATATGTTGGTGAGTCTGATAGTTTTCATGAAAAGAAAACAAAAGGTGCTTTAGAGGTGTTCTGTGCTCGTTTATGGTGATGATTTGGGTTGGAGCATAATGATCATATGACATATATTCCATATTTAGGTTTATGGGGTAGAGGTGTTTTGCAACTATGTGGTGTTAGTAGCCTCTTTATGTCTGTGGTGCCTGATGCTTTTTCGACATTTTTGCTTTCAAGTGTGCAGTGTGATTTGGCATGCTTTTATGTAGGCTTTTTAGGATGATACCTTGTTCTTCCACTGTATTGATATGTAATTTCCCACTGTTCATATGGAGTAATATTTTTTGATCTAACCATGATTTTTTCCCCATAGGATTTAGAGAAGTTAAAAACTGCTTTAGCTGACTGAGCTACTCGATATTTGGATCAATGTTCGAAGTCTAGTGTCATTGTGTTTATTGTTGGCTCCTCTTCCTTGGATGAGTACCTCTTTTTTGACAGAGTAATGTATTTGAAGTCTAGTGTTTGGAATTTTTTGGCTTTGCTGTTTAATTATGAATGTTGCTTAATAAACGTGTTGTGTATCGCCTATAGGTTTACAACTTTACAGAACCAATTTTGCTTGCGAAATTCGCATTGGTTTCAGGACAATTTTGACAGTATTTGTTTTTGTTTATTTGCTCTTCACTTGGGATTTTGGTGACAGCATTTAGCAGCTTACATGCGTCCGATCTTGAAGTCAGAAGTGAATCATTAAGCTAGAACAAATTCCTTCGCTTCTCACTTTATTGATCAGCATGTTAGTATGGCTGACATTCTCCAAATTTATGTTTGAATTTCAGGTGAACTTGCTGGTTTCAAGTGACAGCAGCTCAGTTATCTAAGATGATCAGACATCTCTTTCATCCCTTTAGTTTGGGAGGCTGCTATATAATGTATGCAGCTCCACTAAATCACTAATACTCCTATAATTGCGCCTTAATTTAGTATTGAAAATATTTAAGTTTTAAATATATAAATCACTAGAGTATGATAATTGGCTCTTTTATAACACTTAGGGGGGCGTTTGGTTTGCAGAGTGGTATAGGTTTGGAATCAGGAATAGGGTTGAGGTGGTATCGGGTTAGAACTTGATACTTAATACCATGTGATTGGTTCATTTCATATTTGATACCTAAGGGAATGGAATGAGCCAAACCCACCTTCCCCTCAAGGTTTCTAATCCCCATACCTCATGGGTTTGAGGTATGAGTTTAAAAATCATATTTTTAACAACCAAATATATGGTATGGGTTTTGGTCATTCTAAACCCATACCTAATACCTATAATCCGCGAACTAAACGCTCCCTTAGTGTTATTTTATTTACTCTGTAATAAAAGCTCATAGTGGGGAATCGAACTTGAGACTTCTCTCTCATCAATTTACCATGAAAACTCCAACAAACTAACTGGGTTATCACTAACATCATGATATAATATTTATTAGTTATTTTAGGGAGGGCAGGCCCATAGAAGAGGGTGTGTAAGGTGGGCTTCAGCACAGGGCCCCTAAACTAAAAGGGCCTCCAATTATATAGTATGTAATATAATCTACTGCAATTATAAACTAATACTTGGTAGATGTTATAGTGGTTAGCATCAACATTTTAGAGTAAACATGCACATTGGTTGCATGTTCGATTCTGGTGATGGTTATATATATATATATTTTATTACAACTCACGCATAAACCTTCAATAATTCTATAAGAGTTTCGTTAGAGGGAAAAAAAAAACTGAAGAAAGAGCACTGCAATGTTACATAAAAGCTTTTACTTTTATTTAACACCATACAAACTTTATCCCATGGTTTTTTTTTTCTACTTGATAATAAAGAGTAAAAAATTGCCAAGTTAATTTATTAAAGTTAAAAGGCCTATTTTTATTTTTGGTGAAGGTCGAAATCTTCTGAACAAAGATTGAGAATCAACCTTAATTATCAAGCTTTGAACAAAGATTAATTTCAATTGATCAGTTAATATAAGTTAAGTGATGTAAGCTTAATTTGAGTTGTATTTAGCCGCTATTATCAACATGAATAAAATATCCGAATTTCATTTTGCATAATCAAATATATCATTGTTATAAAGCATTTTTATTTTGTAATGTATATATTGGAAAATTGTACATTGTCTAAATTATAAATAAATAAAAAATTGTATAATTTTTACATTATTAAGGGCCCCTTTTTCGATTTGGAACAGGGCCCCCAAAATCATTGCTACGGCCCTGAGGGGGGGCATACTATATTACATATTTCACCAGTTGGGCTACGGGGGGTCGGCCTCCACCAGCCCCCGTGGCTCTGCCCATGGTTGGAACAATTGTTATAGTAACAGAGTTGAATGCAATATTTGTTACAGAATAGTATAGTAAGGTTATCGATTTTCCATTACTCTTATTTTTGTTTTCATTTTGGTCATATTTGGTCTGGTTTAGACCGGTGAACAACCCTAATAGCCTATGCTAATACGTCAACTGGGCCATCACTTCAAAATGATGAAAAAGAAAAATGCTAATGATATATACGCTCCATCAAAATGAGATATCTTGAATAGATTGGACTCAGTCGTAAAAGCAAGTGCCACTTTTGACAAAAGGAAAAAAATAGGAAAAAAGCAAATGCCACTTTGCTTTGCTTTTGTAGGAACTAATGTCCCAATACATTGCTGTTCCAGATCTTAGTGTCTCCTTTTTGTCTTCAAATTCAATTTGTTTATAAAGAATGTTGGTTGAGTTGGGGAAGAAAATCAATCAGATCACCACCTTTTATAGACCTTTAATACAATAATCATTTCGTCAAAATGATTTTTCTGAGTGTAAATAACAATCATATTGACAATATTGTTTCAACAAATTGTGATTTTAGTTTCTCTGAACGCAAATAATAGTCATATTGTATTAATATTTCGTAATAAAATGAGATAACAATTATTAAAGATAGTATCACAAAAGAAAATGCGATAATTTTGCTAGAAAAATGAAATGTGAAGTATTTAGATTAATTGAAATTGTTATTACATTTTAATGTTGCCATGGGCCCATTAATTTTAAAAATACCGTTCTGCCAAAAGAAAAAAAAAATGATCTTATATTCTTATTTGTATAAGATTATCCTTGGGAAACTTTTTGTCCAACTTTTTTGTAGACAGCCACCTCAGATTCCAATACAGAGAAGTCACTGGAATGAAGTATTGTAATTTGCTCAAATCAGTATATATATATATATATTTTAATTTTATTTATTTTTTGGGTAATAAACTCATGATAGCCAAATAATGAATTGTTTTTGAAAGCTAGTTGTATAGTGACTTCTATAACTAAAAATGTAGAGATGGAGAGAATTTATTAGTTAAAAAAGAAAGTAATGATGCATGTTTTAAAAATGGAGGAAGTATTTTTTTTTTTTTTTTTTGATAAAGTATGACTTTACATTATTCATACATTAAGTTTGATCATATTTACTTTAAATAATAAAAGTTGACCATATTTTCTTACTTAATATATTGTATAATTGTTGTTCAAAGATTGTCAATTTGATACTTGTTATCAAATACTCCGTATTAATCTACCATTTTGTATTGACAATTATGTATGTCAAAATGTAGCAAAAATGCATCAAACTTTACTTTAAACTTATACTATATTATTTTATTTTTTGTTGTTAAGAGGCCCTCTTCATGATGGTAAATTCTAATGGGTTGATTGTATGAACTTATAGGTACCATTAACAGAAGTTTAGGAAACAATTTAACATTTATGCAAGATCTCAAGCACATAATAATATGAATCACATGATAAGATTAGATGTACAACCCTTGATGCATTCTCTTCCCCGAAATCAAGAACCTCAAGCGTGTCTTCTATTACTCAAGTTCAGTAATCATGTTATTAAATGTCAAATGGATAACAAATAATTGTAAAATTGCACTCTTACCTATTAAAAAAAAAATGCACTCTTACCACACTACTACACTAGGCGATTTGATAAGAAAAAGTGAAGTCCATTAAAATGGCTGGAATTTGTACTTCTCTTACTTTTCAACTTGGGCCTCGTTTGATGACAAAGCGACATCAAATTATTGACTTATTTATTTATTTATTTTATAAAATAAGAATAAGAGAAATTCTCATTCGTACACCCGTGATTTTGACTTTTTCCATTGATACACTCCAAAATTTTTGCCTTCCCATCGGTACACCTAAGGTTTAGTCTTTTTCCCAACCGTGACTAACACCGTTAAAAAGTATTTCATTAAGTTAAAATAATTAAGGAAAAGACTATAATACCCCTTTTAAATATCTAATGTCTTGATTTGCGTGTCGAAAATCGTTCGGTTAAAGTTTTAGAAGTCATGTTAGTCTTTAAGGATCTAAACCTCGAAATTAGCAAAAAAAAAATAGCGCAAATGTCTCATGTGCGTGTCAAAAATATCTCGGCTTGCGTGCCATTACTTTTTTGTGATTGTAATTGTTCGGTAAATTTTTTAGGGGTCATTGTGACCCTTTAAGGGTCTAAATCGAACTTGAAATTGTAAAAAAATTGACGATAATGTCTCATTTTGCGTGTCATGAAAAACAAAAAAGAAATACCATGACGTGCAAAATGATACATTTTTGTTAATTTTTTAACAATTTTGAGTTCGATTTAGACCCATAAAGGGTCAAAATGACTCATAAAACCTTAACCGGACAATTATTATCCCAAAATAGTAATGACATGCAAATCGAGACATTTTTTGACACACATATGAGACATTTGTGTTATTTTTTTGCAAATTTCGAGGTTAATTTGGATCCTTAACGACTAGGATTCCCAAAACTTTAACCGAACAATTTTCGACACGCAAATCGAGACATTTTATTTTAACTTAATGAAATACTTTTTAACGGTGTTAGTCAAGGTTGGGAAAAAGACCAAACCATGGGTGTACCGATGGGAAGGCAAAAATTTTGGAGTGTATCAATGGGAAAAGTCAAAACCACGGGTGTACCAATGAGAATTTCCCTAAGAATAAAGATATGAAAGGGAGCCCCACAAGGATCCAATTTTTGCAATCTTTATCTTCATTTTACAACGCAAAATTTAAGATGCATTATGTATTTTTGAACGTGAAGTAAAAAAATAAACAATTGCAAATTTTAAACATGTAGTAAAAACATATGAACATCGTAAATTTTGAACATTTAGTTAAAATATCCGAACAATCGTAATGTATCACGCCTATACTTTTGAACATTTAGTAAGAAAAAATCTGAACAATCGCATTATATCACGCCTATACTTTTGAACATTTAGTAAAAAAAAAAAAACTAAACAATCGCGAATTTTGAACATTTGATAACAAAATATGAACATTGCAAATTTTGAACATTTAGAAAAAAAAAATCTGAATAATTGCAATACCCCACACCTATACTTTTGAATATTTAGTAAAAAAAATATGAATAATAAATTTTTTTGAACATTTAGTAAAAAATCTGAACAATCTCAAATTTTGAATTATTACAAGTCAGACAAACTTTAAAAGAAGTTTGTCTGACTCGTAATAATTCAATAGCTTTGTAATATAAACTGAACATTTACTACGTATAAAATGAACATTTCTTTATAAAATATGAACATAAAAATTGCATGTTAATGTTCAGTTTTTGTGTCGTATTCATATTTTTTTTTACTAAATGTTCATTTTATGTAAAATGTTCAATTTTTTAAACTAAATGTTCAAAAGTATTGACGTGGTGCACCTATTTCTAGGTGTACCATGGTGCATATAATACTAATTGATTTTACAAAGTCTCACTTTTTTTTTCTATTAGTAAGTTAATAAGTATAAAGAGGTGATGGGTAGAGGTGTCAAATCGGGTACCCAGATGAAGTTTGGGTATGACGGATCATTTTATCTAATCAAATCAAATCGAGTCAAGCTTAATTATATTTGAGTCAAAGGTGGGTCAACTTATGGTCAGGTACAAATCGAATTCGGGTCAAGTCAAATTCGAGTCGAGTCAATCGAGTTCAAGTAAGATCGGATTTGGATTTAATTGGGTTTATTTGGGTCAAAATGGATTTAAAAGACTTTGAATCAGGTCATTCAGATTCGGTTAAATCTCAGTTCAAATCAATTCAGTTTCGATTAGATCTCAATTCAAATCAATCATGTAATTTTAAACTCATTATAGAGCTATTTTCTATACAAGTATTTTAATATCTTTCACTCCTATTAACCCCATTTGTTAATTGTTAGTAGAATTTCTCACTTCTACAAACAATTAAATATATATAACCCCTAGTTCGACACTTTATATTCCAAAACCCCCAGTCTCCACAACAATTAAAAAGTCGTTAACTAATTAACTCATAAGTTTTGGGGTCGGGTTTA